AGCACATCGAAATTGGACCGTAGATCAGTGTAAACGGGTTCTTTGGAGTGATGAATCAAGGTTCACCCTTTACCTTTCGGATGGCAGGGTCTGGGTCTGGCGTCTACCTGGAGAACGTCTCCTGCCAGAATGCATTGTGCCAACAGTCAAGTTCGGCGGAGGTGGAATTATGATCTGGAGATGTTTCTCCTGGTATGAGCTGGGACCCTTGGTCCCCATTCATGGTAAGCTCAACTCCGATGCCTACTGCACTATTTTGGATGACAATGTGCTTCCTACGTTGTGGCAGTTTTACGGGTTGGACCCCTGTTACTTTCAGGACGACAATGCCAGTTGTCATGTTTCGACGTTAACCAAGGCTTGGTATGGTGCCAATGGAGTTCATCGAATAGACTGGCCTGCCCAGAGTCCAGACCTGAACCCTATCGAGAACCTCTGGGATGAGTTGAATCGCCGAATTCAGGGGTGCACTACCCGTGCAAAATCGGTGAAGGAACTTCTATGTCTTCTCCAAGCCGAGTGGAAGAAAATACCACTAGCTGTCATACAAAGACTTGTGGAAAGTATACCCCGGAGGGTCCACGCTGTAATTACCTCTTGTGGAGGCTCTACCAACTATTGATTTTTAATAAAGTTAGCTTTTCTTTTCTATCACAGGTGTCCAAATACTTATTGGTAGTCAGTGTATAAGCTTAATATGGTGATAAACAACCTTAGTACGATGAGAAAATTTCAAATTATTATATTGCATATTTTCAATAATTTAAAAATTTCGAATGTTATGGAAATATTTTAATACCTTGAAGAGTATAATACTTTACGGGATCACTAAAACATTGTTGTAGTTACGTGTTCATTATCTGTTCACTAAAATGTGACGTCACAAAAAACGAACAGTAAGCATCACTTACAACGTTACTGCGACATTGAGATCGTCACAGTATGACATGTTTGCAATGTCATAGCGACGTCGTCGTGCTGTTAGGGTGAAATTAAACTTGCAAGTTAAAAATGAACAGTATAAAGTGGATTTTTTGTGGGGAGAAATTTTAAGGCAACCTCAATGCTAGGATTGGACTTTTTAATATCTAATGGCAGGAAAATTAATTTTCAGGAAGCTACGATGTAGCTTGATCTTGTGTCGGTAACAACAGTGACGGAGCACTCGAACGCGAGAACCAGTTCCCATCCAGACATAGCACTCATGTGAATCTCAACAAAACTTCGCATTAACATGATGCAAGATGATGTGAAGATGTTACAACTTCTAAAGAAGCATAAAGCTGCGTACAATTTTTGAAAGATATCCAGAGGTGAAAAACCCAAGCTGTTGAGCTGGTTACTACAAAACATGACTGTTAACAGGCATAAAATTATTTTTAGCGCAAGTAGTACGAAAAATCCCAGTATGCATAACAAGTAATTTATACCACGAAAAGGATGAGAATTTTAAGCTATGCAAATAAAAATATTAAAATACAGCAAAATATTGTTGCTTGCGTACGGGTTCGTAATTGATTGAATGCTCACAGAACCGATGAGAGCTTGATATAATTTATTTTGCCAAAAACAAACATTACAGTTCTGAAACTTTCCACAAAATCCTCGTATAGCGTTTCTCATTATCACAGATCTCGATCAGTAGTTCCCACTTTAAATTACCAAGAATATTAAAGAAGAATATTAAAGACAACGCAATGCAAAACTTTCCTAAAGAGCGAACTTCAAAGGAAAATTACTTATTACTTTGAAGTCGACCTCAAAACTGAAAACTGATGCTCTCTTCTTTCTTATACAGCTTCTTCTCGACAGCCGAGAAATTTCTAGTACGTTTCATTTCCCGAAATTATAGAAAGCCGTATACGGTTAAAAATATATACAAGAGCCGTATACGGTTAGAGTTGCAAATCGGGATCAAATACTTTTCTTCAGTTGCAATTATACAGGGACAGGACTCAAATGTCGTGGTATGGTCACTAAATTTGGCCACTGAAAAGTTTTGGTTTTAACATTTTTAAAATTCTTAATTTCACTTATAGGATTATTTGAAATTTATTAATTATGAATTTCAGTTTTTGTTCCTTGAAAAATTAGTTCTAAATTTCTTACTTTATGTCTTTATTAATAATTTTTCAGCAGCTTAATGCGCGAAAATACTAGGCATAATTATATTTTGTTTTTAAAAATTGTTTTGTAATTATATATATGTTACGGTGAAACACCGAAATCTGGAGAATGTCGACTTTCACCGGTAAATGTCAACATTCACATAGTCGCTTGGTGTATGTCCGAAATATTTTCCAAATACTCTTATTTCTGACTTACACCGGTGAATGTCGACATTCACCATGTACTAATGGTGAATGTTGAATATATAAGAATATTATATTTCCTTCTCCGTAATTCATTCGCGAAAAAATGCACTTGAAACTCAGAATAAGAACTTAAGAATATAAGAACTTAAAACGCAAAATACATTCAAAATGAGAAAGGAAAATAATAGAAGTTATAAACTTACCAAATTATGTGATTTAAATCTTATTTTTTGCAACAACTTAAACTATTATGACACTTTGAATTGCACAAGAGACCCTTGCTTTTACAACTGCATTTATTTGTGGAACACTTCCTTTTGGAATGGCAGCGTATACATATACTCCTCTCTTTTCGACCTACACCAGAGCGTATCTGTGAATGTCGACATACACCGGTGAGGGTCCGAATGTACAAGAATGTAAAGAAATATTCGATCTTTCACCGACGTATTTGGTGAATGTTGACATTCTCCGGTGAAAGTCGACATTCTCCAATTTCGGTCTTTCACGGTAACATATATATTTCTTTCGTGCTCTGCATTGGTTCTTGATCCCTTCAATTCAGGGAAATATTTGACCTAACTTAAATTGCCAGTTTGGTATTGCCTTATTACTTGAGTAAAGGACGAAACACCTTTGTATTTATTTCTTAATTATTGTACATTGAACGGGAGTTGGTTTGTTCCCCTTGAAAAGTCAACTAATTTCCGATCAATGTCAATAATTACTTGCTCTTAATTTAATTACTTGCTTTTAATTTAATTTCTTTTTACAATTGAAATTTTGTTATTCATGATTTAATTCAAGTCCCCGTTAAACATTTTTAGCAATTTACATTCAAGTTACTTTAAAACAATTTTCGGAATTAAACTTACTAACTATGGATTCACTCTTTTTAGATAATTCTACTAAAATTAGTCATAGATATGTAATCAATATTTATTTAGTATATATATATATATATATATATATATATTATTAGATATATATATATTTCAGATTGTTGATGCCGATGAGGGGCAAATCGAACGGCATCGTTTTCTAATCTCAAATACATATCTTAACTTTTCTTAAATATTTTTTATATTTAAAATAATAACCAGATAGTAAGGAAATTAGGTTAAAGTACTTCCCTTGATGGAAGTAAATATATATTTAAACTCTAATTTGATTTGTTTTAATTGATTATTTGTTTAGATATTGTGTTAAATCTCTTATACTAGCTTGCAGTTATTAATATTGTTGAGAAATTGCCTTGCTTTGACCCCAATTTACTTTTAACTTTAACTGCTTTAAGTTTATATTTCAACTCTGGTTGAGGCTGGTTTATTTTTTTTTTAAGAATGTATATTTTACTATGTATCTTCTTCCTTAATAAGAGAGAAAAAATGCTAAAAATGCCTAATAAACTAAATCGTTACTAAAACTAAAAATTGTTAAATTTATTTTAATCATCTTTTATTTTTGTAATAAAAGTTTTTAACAGCATTTTCTGTTCCTTCTGTATACGATTTTGTACATATTTACTTGGTAATTTTCTGCTTTTGATAGCCTTGTCACTTCACTCCACGACTAACTGAATTTCGTAACAGATGGAAAACGTGGAGTATGATTTGATAAACATTATTTTTTAGCATGCTGGAGTTCTAGCATCAGTTTTTATTCAGTGATAATGTTAAATGGAGTAGAAAAAATGTTAATACATTTCGTTACAATGTTAATACATAATGTTAATACAAAATGTTAATACATAATGTTAATACATAATGTTAATACATTTTTTTCCATTAGATTATTATATTTTGAAGAATATATTACTGCTCATCTTTCTTTGTAACAAAAAATAAAAACTATAAAAATACAACAAACTTTACACTTGTTAAGTGTTAAAAATTTTTGTGTTTCATTATTATCGTTTAATGTTCGTAACCTGTTTGTAACAATATTTGTTCCTTTTATTTCCTAAGCTTACATGTAAGGTAACTTGTCAATTTTTATCCCTGAAAACATTTCATTGTAACTTATCTAGGAATTTTTTAGAAAATGATAAATGTAAAGTTATATAATATATGTACTCACTGGTACTCTTTTACAAAGACAGACTGACTGGCAGACTGGCAGACAGACTGACTGGCAGACTGACTGGCACTGACTGACTGACTGGCAGAGACTGACTGGCAGACTGACTGGCACTGACTGACTGGCAGACTGACTGGCAGACTGACTGGCAGAGACTGACT